TCAGCCAAGCCGTGCGCTGAGACCGGGTTCCCCTTCATGGACTGCTTGGCTGGGATCCCAAACAAGGTGGCAGCGTGAGCGAGGGTAGGGGGACAGCACACGTGGTTTCCACGGCAATGGTGAGCACCCCACCTCGACTGGCCTATGGCCTCTGAGGCGAACGAGCAGAGGGGGCCAGCAGGAGAGCAGTCAGGAGAGAGAGCGGTGCAGACGAAGAAGGTGACCATGCCCCCCATGGTCAGGCAGGCTGCGGGCGGCCGTATCCACACTCTTCCACAAACAGACCATAATTTATTTAACCAAAACCTAGTAAGAGGCCATTAGATGATTTCAGGCTCTTCATTTTGTTTTGCTTGCTTTGCAACAGCAAACAATTCTCTAGTGACTCTGCTTGTCCATATGTCCCGCCATTTTACTGAGAGTATATCTTTCAGTATCTCACTCAGTAAAATTACTGAGTAAAAGGGTTAATGGTCTGGTCCTTCTCTTTTGTTTGGAGGGGCCCCATCAGCAGACTAGAAATGGGATGGGCCATTTGTGCGGGAATGTCTCTGACTTGGCATGATTACCCATCTTGGTCAAAAGGTGGGAGAAGAAGGTTTGAGACTGGGGATAGGGGAAGCTATGCAGGGGGGAGGTATCAACCCCCAGACCGGTAGGAGATTAAATCCTCTCCTGCAGACCTTTGAAATGACTGCAGAAGCAGATACTACTATTATGACCCACACACTCAGCATGGAGACCCACCATTCTAAGTTCAGCAGCATGAGAATCACCTGGAAGGCTTGTTGAACCTCCCTCTGCCAACCCTAAGTTTCTGACTCAGTAGGTCTGAGGTGGGGCCCAGAGTGTGCATCTCTATCAAGTCTCAGGTGATGCAGATACAGCTGGTCCAGGCACCACACTTTGAGGACCACTGCCATAGACTGTTGTCCAGGGTAGCAGCAAAGTGGTCAAAGGGAACACAGCTAACTGGTGTCAGGACTGGGATTTGACTTGAGTTTCTGACTCCAAAATCTGTGCCGACTGCCTTACAGCAGAAGGTTCTCGCCCTGGCTCACATCAGAATCATTTGCGGCATTGGAAAGGTGGGTGCCGGGCTGCACCCTGGACCCACGACATCAGAGTCTGGGGGGACTTGGCACCGAAAGATTCTCAGAGCCCCCCACATGAGCCCAAAGTGCACCAAAGCTGGAAACCACTCCTAGGCTGCAACGCTGGAGTCATTCTGGCAGAATGGGGAACACTGGGTCTCTATCATGCCTCCTGCCCCCCAGTTTGGACTTCACAGATGGAGCACAGATGGGATTTTTCCCAGTTGGGTATGGCTATACTTTCAGATAATGGGCAAATCTTCCTACAGATGAAGAAAAAAGTGAAGTAAGTATGTATCCCCACCCACTTTATGGAGATGTAAATGACATAGAGTATTATGTAAGTTTGTGTAGAAAGTGTTGCTGATACATTTACATATTGCAACATGATTACCACCAAAGCTTTAGCTAACACCACCAGCAGGTCACATAGTTACCATTTCTTTTTTGTGGTGAGAACCTTCAAGATCTACTCCTAGCAATTTTCAAGTATATAATAATTATTAAATATAGTCTCCATGCTATAATTTGATACCCAAACTAATCTTTCTTATAACTGAAAATTCGTATGCTTTAGCCAACATCTCCCTAGTTCCCCCACGCCCTTCAGCCCCTGGTAACCACTCTACTACTCTGTTTCTATGAGTTCAGCTTTTCTATATTTCACTTAGAAGTGAGATCATACAGTATTTGTCTTTCTCTGTCTGACTTATTTCACTTAGGATAATACCTTCAAGATTCATCCAAGTTATCACAAATGTAAGACCTGATTCCAGGTCCTACATTCAAGTCTTTAATCCATTTCAAGTTTATTTTTGTGTATGGTGTGAGAAAAAGGTCCAGTTTCATTCTTCTGCATATGGCTGTCCGGTTTTCCCAACACCATTTGTTGAAGAGACGGTCCTTGCCCCATTGTATATTCTTAGATCCTTTATTGTACATTAATTGACCATATAAGCATGGGTTTATTTCTGGGCTCTATTCTGTTCCATTGATCTAGGTGACTGTTTCTATGCCAAGTAAGTATATATTTTGATGGCACTTGAAGACTGTACCATAGACTTCACTGTAATTTAGGAGAGTTACATCACCCTGAAGGGCCACATCAAGGTGGCAAAAACAATAAGCAAGAACCCCAACTGTCCAAAACATATAATGGGAATCGCTGTCCCTGTCTTATGTGCCAGGGGCACACTGGTAGTGGCCATCTGAGGTAGGGCTCACCCTGTGACTATTTCTGCTCATCCTTAGAGGCCAAGATTCAAACTGAGCAAGGAGACTGCATCCCTTGGTTAAAGAAAGGCAGCTTTTCTCCAAGATCTCTCCTCCACTTATCTTTGGTATTTCCGTGATTGACAGACAGAAATATATTTATTAAGGGATTATCTGTATTGAAAACCAGACATGGGATTTTTTTTTTTCTCTGTCAACATTGCAGAAATATCAGCTGTTTGAACAAAAGGAGAGGTATTTTCATTCAATCCCAAACACTGAAAATTCACCAGTTTATATTCAGGAAGACATTTGGTTTTATTGATCATGTTAGCTGAATAAGTTTAAACTCCTATAGCCAGACAAGGAGAAGATTGATTTTCTCTTTATTATAAAGGTTATTAAGAGGAAGCCAGATATAGAAGTTATTTGTTTTTAGACAATCCCACAGAATCAGAACCACTCAAATACGTTCCAGAAGTTTTGTTCAAAGCCAACACCTGAATGGCCTAAAGAACAGCGCTGTCTCTTCTGGGAATACTAATTTTATTGTTCAAGACTTGGCATACTTCGGGCAAGTGCTTTGTTATCGATGGGGGAAATGTCCATTTCTCTGATTTTAAGTCACACTTCACTAATGGTCAGAGATAGAATAGACGCACCTGGGCTGCCTGCACCACAGAGCCCTTGGCCACTGACGGTAACTTAGCATCGTCCCTGCAGACTGACTGCGTCCGTGACTTTCGCTGCAAGAGCACCTGTGTTCACCCACACGTGCAAACACAAGGAAGCCTGCATGTCTGCCAGTAATCAAGTGTGCACTTAAAAACCAATACCAAACACTTTCATAGTGAAACAGACTTACCGCTAACTTGCTCTTTCTCTTTTTCTTGGCATAATTTCCCAGTTTCTTCAAATCCAACAAGGAGGTATCCAAAATACTAGAGGAAGTGACTTTATTGGGTTTTTCTTCACTTTTTAGTACTGCCTAGAAATACTGGTCTCAGATTTAAGGGAAGGAACCCAATCCCTCAATCACCACTCAAAAACACAGGCGTTCCTTCCACAAAAAGCTCACATACCAAAAAAGTCCTCTCCGGGATTTTGTTGAAATTCTGTACTTCATCAGTGAGAAGTGAGGGACAGGCAGCCTCCTGAGCGCCCCAGTTGGCCTGTCAGCTGATACCGTCGGGTGCGAGCGAAAGTCTGGGTGGGGGCGTATCACCAAGTGACGGGTCCCTATAACCAGTGCGAAGTTCTTGTGTTGCTTTCAGGAAGTCCACTCCTTCAAAACTTTTTGACATTTACTTTGGTAAAATCATATATATATAAATCTCCAAAGGACAGCAGTTTCAGTCCTTTCTGAAAGAAATGAGGTGACTTACAGAAATGACCATAATTACTTTTTAAGTGAAGTTATGCAAATCTGATAGACTAAAGTAAATGTTTCATAAAACCAATGACTGTTCAAATTGTAGGACTAAATTGTTTGTATATAAATATTACCTTTTATATTCCGTTTGAGTTTTATGTAGATGAACACATTACTTTAATGACCTGCGTTTGTGGAGAGGGTAGGAGACTCGCTCTCTCGATTCTCCCCCGCCAGATGGTTGCCTTTTCTTGCATGAGATTAAAACATGTCTCCCATTCACCGCAATGCTTCTGAGGCAAATTAATATCACCAGCTAAATTGTTTGTGTTTTCGGAATAAAATTTAAAGAGAACTTTTTAAAGCAATCGGTGTTGCCAGTTCGCAGAGCAGATTGCTCTCCAGGTAGGGCATGCTGGTTTTAAACATTCAGTAATTAATGGAAAGCATTCTGTGTTAATTGACTGCTTCAGGAAAGGGAAATATAATGGTTCCTTATTAATCATGAAAAGAAATGTACGGCATGGAAGCACCACAATGATTGCCCTAACAGCGGAGAAACGTTAATTAATGAAAAGAACAATGATGTAAGAAATTAGCTGCATAATGTTCGCTGCTGATGGAGGCTGGGTTTTAAACACGTTATTTACAGTGGAAACCACGAAATGTTGCCTCAAACAGATGGATGTAACCTTGTACCACCCAAGTTTAGGGGCAAAAACAATCTTAAAATGCTGCTGTCATCTTTGCTTGCAGAAGAAAAACACTTGCCCAGGGCTCTATTTCTTTCAGAGAAGGACGGCCCTGTCCTTCATGTGGGATCTGGGCTTCTAAAATCAAAATCTTCCTCGGAGCAAAACAGGGTCACTTATTAATGTCATTTAATGACACAGCAGGTTGTTCTAACTGCTGAGGACAAAAGAAGAAGAAAGTATTCTTCCCTAAACTGAAATAAACTCCATTTCTGATATTTCCCAGCTAACGTAAAGGAAAATTTAGATTCGTTTTGGGGACAGAGTGTCTTTTTTTTTTTTTTAATTTCAAGTCCCTGCGAGAATATATAGCTTCCACTCCATCTAACAAGTCATCTTCTAGAAAAGGAAATGCAGGGCCCCCGTCAGCGGCGCGCACGGCAGTTAGGGGCTCAGAACTGGAGCTGCCCGAGCTGGTGGCCTCTCTGCTGGGTCGGGCGGCACAGCCACAGGGCGGGAAGGCAGGGACCGGGGCTGCGCACAGCCCGCCCCCAGGTGGGTGGGGAGGGAGGCCACTCGGGGGGGCCTGCCCGCGCAGGTGAGCCCCGCACTGACGCCCTCTCCTTGCAGGTGGAACGTGCTGGGACTGCAGGGTGCACTGCTCTGCCACTTCATTGAGCCTGTGTACCTGCACAGCATCATCGTGGGCAGTCTGCACCACACCGGCCACCTCTCCCGGGTCATGAGCCTCCGGACCGAGGACATCGGCCAGCTGCCAGCCTCGTACCGACACAACCAGCCCCTCCTCAGCGGTAAGAAAACTCCGTCCCCATAGACACGCAACCAGTGCCCTCTCATCGGCCAGCCCCATGTGTCCTAACTCTGGCAGATTTTACCCATGTTGGCCGCTGGCTTAAATATTTACGATTTAGCGAGCAAAATTACAATAACACAAAACTTTAAAAGAGAGGAAGGTTACCGTGCATCCTGAATGTAGGAATGGGCAGCATTCTGAGGTGGACGCAGAACAGGACACAGCACAGAACCGGGTCACACCATCACAGTGACTGAGGGAACCATCACGCGCGGGCCCAACAGGATGACATACCCGTCCCGCTCCGCTCCGCGGGCAGCACCTCTGATGAAGGGCAGCTGGGTCAGGAGCAGTAACATGGAGGGTGGACAGCGCAGGCCCACAGGCTGCCCCGAGTGCTTGCAGGACTCGGGGTCCCCGTGCCCCCCTCGCACAAGGGATTCAGAAGGCACATCTCAGAGGCAACAAGGTAATCCAGCAAGCACTGAGCATCTATCCTACTTCCCACACTGCCTGTGTCCATAGCACCAGACCTCCGGAGCCTCAGTGTCCCCACAGCAAAATGGGGACGGCCAACTCCTAGGTCGCCCGGCACACAGCCGGTTGTAAGGATCAAGAGTCACATGGCCAGGAAGCGCTTTGAAATCCATCACGTTCTGTACACTGGGAAGGATCGAGTCCTGATCTCGGCATTTTGGAGGGGAATGCCTATGGTGACCACTGGTCTCCACATCACAGACCCTTTCCTGGTTCCTGAGAATGAGCCTCACCAGAGGCCTGGAGGAAACAGCGCATGCAGAGGGGGATTCCCTTGCTTGGGCAGGACAGCATCCTGAAGGGACTGCCGGAGGCCGCCCTGCAACCCCAGGCAGATGTCTTCAGGAAGCGGGAATAGCTTTCCTGGGAAGGAGCAGGGCTGGCTGGCTTCAGTCTTGGGCCATATCACCTGAGAGAGAAAGAGGAAAATAAAAGAGGTGTTCAGTGTTGTGGCTCAGACTCGGGCCTAAGATTTATTCCCAGGATTCTCAAATTGTTCTAAATTATAAAATCAGGGTGATAATAGTGCCCCATGCGGCTGGGAGTGAGAACAACTGAGCAAGTGTTGAAGAAGACACCTCCACATCCATTCCCTTTGTCTCTTAGACTCACCGACTCTCTGCTGCTCTGGGAACAACCTGCGGGCTGGGGGCTGGCTGACCACCCAGGTCCCCGCTTTATTACACCGCAGGCCTTCCTTTATATGTGAGAGCCTATGCCCAAGATCCTAGACCCCATGCTGAGAGCCACCTCTCTGCTGCCACAGGAGTATGAGTGGCCCTCAGGCAGCAGGTCCAAGATCAACTGTGTCAGCCCGTGTCACCCGTCCTCACATCCCTGGGACCATGTTAGAGTCCAGGGGCATGATGTGTCCAGTGAGGGGACTTAGAGTCAAAGTCAGCGCACCTCAGTGAGGCCATTGGAGACAAGGTCACAGATTCTGTCCAGAAACACCAAACAGCACCATCTTTTAGAATTTCACTTGCGCTACTGTCCCCAGGCCTGCTCGGTCATGGAAGGGGTTAGTCCTTCGCCACCGTCCCAGGGGCTGAGAAAACAACATCAGCAAGGCAGGATTTCCTCACCACCATCCTTGCTCAAAAGGCTGCCTTTGGATGCAGCCCATCGCCTGGTCCAGCGTTGCAGGGTCCCCAGCCCCGAATCACAACCGACTCTGGACGATGGTGGGCCTGCAGGTGGTCGTGCTGGGGGGCGAGCACCCGAGGGGCCCGGTCTGCATGGCGCAGGGAGAACACAGCACCCGAGCCTCTTGCTGAGAGTGACTACGTCAGCTACAGAAGGGAAGGTCCTTCTCAGCATCACGAAGATGGCGTCCCACCAACCAACAATCTCCATGTTACAGATGTGGGAACAGACTCCTCGAAACTATGGACGTGGGGCAAGGATTTAAACTCAGCTCGATGACACAGCTAAGCCCTTTCAACACCCCACACTGCATCCCATGACCTGCAGCACCATTTAACAGATGTCCATATTTTTAATCCCATAAAGATTAATAATGCAAAACAAGACTAGCGGAAGAGGTGATAGAATCTAACTCATGACGAATGGTGTAGGAGAGGCAAACTGACCCAGCGGGGCCAGCCGGGGACACTCACTCCCAGCTCATCAAGGGTCACAGGAGAGGCGCAAACATTTGCCTCAAATTCAAAGTCTATAAAATTACATTTATTTTTTAAACAGTTGGTAATTTTAGGAATTCTGATAAAATATCACTTTGGCTCAATTTCAAGCTTTCTTTCATTTTTCCTTTTTTTCTCAAAGTGGCAAAGAATACTTTTTTTAAAGATTTTATTTATTTATTTATTTGACACAGAGAGAGAGAGAGCATGAGCAGGGGGAGGGACAGAGGGAGAAGCAGACTCCCCACTGAGCAGGGAGCCCGATGGGGGACTCCATCCCAGGACCGAGATCATGACCTGGGTCGAAGGCAGACACTTCACCAACTGAGCCACCCAAGCATCCCAAGAACACTTACTTCTTATGGCTGAACAGCCAGCACAGCTCTGGAGCAGACCCAAAGTCCTAGACCTACTGGTTTCATGCTAAATCCAATGTTCCCAACTCGGGTGCCCCACAAACCTCACTGAGGTTCTTCAGTCTCTACATTAAACTTACAAGAATTCTCATCTGTTCTCACCTTTCCCATGAGGGGGCTGGTTTTCATCCAGCCTTTGGGTGCCACACAGAATGGCCATCCATTCTTGCAAAGCTTTTTAAAAATTTTATGTTCAACTGGGAACATGTAAACAGATAAAAACAGGAATTTTGAATTATAAGTATAAAAGCAGTAAATTTTTTTTAAAAAAAGCTCAATTAGAGAAATTCAGAACACCTGAAATCATCAAGTGGCGTACCTGATGGCAATGCGCCTGAGACTCCCACGTGAACCCCCACCCCCGGGTGACACGCACCCCTACTTAAAACCAGGACAATTTAACTAGACATTTCAGTCCATACTGAAAATACAGCTTTTGTTATTGCAGAGATGCAAATAAGCCTAAACCGTGGTGTCTCACCTGCACACGCTTAGCTGCAAGAACTGCTCTGCTTTTGATGGATATTTAAAAACCAATCATGCAAATTTTGAAAGGAAATCATCAGGATTTTTTTGCAACAAAAGAGAGACAGAGAGATCTTGTATAAGGAGAGTAATGAAAAGCACACTCAAACAAGCCCATGAAATCTGCTTGAAGATTCCCTCAAGGTCAGTTTGCAAAATTGCCTGAGAAGATGAAGCCCACGTACTCGCAGAAAGTCCCGCTGTTTAGCTGGGGCTCAATCAGCTCTGGGTTAATAAGAAGCAGCCGAGCTGAAAAAGATACCCTACTGACACGGTTGTAGGATGCATATTAATGTCCTCCAAAGATATCTTGAAGCATTCTGCACAGACCAGCCTACACCTCTGGGCAGAATGTGAGGACGGACACCCACACCATGGCTGCTATACACCCCGAGCCCTTTGGCACATCACATCACTGGATGAGAGTGGCTCCCCTAAAGGAACTTGCCTTCAGTCTTTCTCGGCATATTGAATACGACGAGAAAAAGGTGATGATGATAATAAAAATCTATGCTCTGAATACTCATCTTGTTAGAAAAACATTAAGTGAAGTAGAAAGTGACTTTGAGGCTACTCTGCTGGGCAGAGGGTCTGGTTTGTCTGCGCTTCCAACCTCAAGGTAAGTTTCATTTTTCTTCATCAGGAAAAAGAGAAATCTGGGTGGGATACACAAGTTCTTTGCTCCTACTAGCGGCGTATTTACTGGATCTGGTGTTCAGCGCTGAACAGTCTTAGTTCACACTGAACATAAAACTTTATAGCCCATGGCAAGGTCCTGGCAACGAACACGAAATCCGAGAGATGAACCCAGAGAATCGGATGTTAGAGCCCTGAGTTGGCTCAGACCCTGGTTTACGTTTGCATGATGGGAATCACAGGATCTTGACAAGCAGAGCATCGGCTGTCTTCCTCCCCAGCGTGCATCTTCCTGAAGGAGTAAAATGGGTCACTGGTGGGTCAGAGCCTCTTCAGACTCCATGTTTCTCAAGCAGCTGAGTTCATTGAAATGTCCTGCCCAACACCACCTACTTCCTGCACTCTAGACTCCTCTCCTCAAGGAGTGGTAGTGGGTGGGATGGAGAAGGAGGTCTGTCGACATGCATACCCACATTTTTGTGAGTTCCAATCTCCAAAGTATTGTCACATTAAACTGTAGAATCCAATATGGAAAGGCAAGTCTCTTTAATTCAGGAGAAATTTCTGAAGTTAATGATCATTAATAGTATCTTGCAAAACAACCCAGTGGGGTAGTAGCAAACATTGTTTTTATGCAGATGGTAACTAATAGGCAAAATTATTTTTATATTAAAATAAGCCCTAGGGCGCCTGGGTGGCTCAGTCCATTAAGCGTCTGCCTTCGGCTCAGGTCATGATCTCAGGGTCCTGGGATCGAGTCCCACATTGGGCTCCTTGCTCAGGGGGTAGTCTGCTTCTCCCTCTCCTTCTGCCCCCACCCCCTGCTCATGTTCTCTCTCACTATCTCTCTCTCTCTCAAATAAATCTTTAAAAAAATAAAATAAGCACAGGTTTATTATGGAATAACCTATAAATTTTTCATAAATGTTTAGGATAAAACACATGAGCTTAAAAATATATCTGAGCAGCTCCTTTGTCTTAGAGTTCTTAGAAGTAGAAATTTATCTCTTGTGCCCTTGAAGGAATATTTGGTAGAAAAAAATTTATTATAAATCTTACTGGAATAATCTAAAGGCAATCCTAATATCTGCATGAAGACCAAAATGCTAAATTCAACAAAGAAATATTTAATAAGACATTTCCATAGATTAGCACTGATTTCCCTCTGCAAATTAGATGGCTTATGATAAATTTAAAATTATAGAAAAACCTTGTTTTCATTTTCTGAGGAGTTCTTTCAA